TTATGCTTATTGGTGGAATATGTATTATTGTGCTTATTGCTTTATGTTGTGTAATGTCGAATCCTTGGCTGCTTTAGGGTTCCCAAAATGTCAGTAAACTCTTATTTTACTTATTTTACTCCTGAAAATATTTTTGAATTGACCGATATTACCCCTAGGCCAGGGATGGCGAACCAATGACCCGCGGGTCACAAAGTGACCCACCGCGTTTTGTTTGTGACCCCCCAAGGCCCATTGGTTCTCAAACTGGGGTCCGCGGTCGCTTAGGGGTCCGCGAAGCGATTTTAGGGGGACCGTGAGACCATTCGGCACAGAAGCACTTTGATTTGAAGTAAAACTTTGATGTCATGCTTTTACAGTGTTTCTTCAAACACGACACGCTCTACCGAAGACATGATCACGTAACAAACGTTGATGAATGTGACAATTGCCGTAAATAAAAGCGTATTGTTTATGAAAGGCGTGTGCAGCTGATTGTAAATTTTCTCGGGTCAATTTAAAAATTTAGATATATATAACGATTTATCTGTGAAATTTGGTTTTGCTGTGACGAGTTCTGGAGGAAAAGAAAAACCACAGTGGTACCGTCCTATCCCGATGTCGCTAAGATGGCACGAAAAATGCTTATTCCATTGGCAACAACTTACGAATGTGAGGCATCTTTTTGGAGGTTACTCGTTATTGAAACAAAAAGTTGAAACAGAATGGACGTGAGACACGATATGAGAGTTGCATTATCCAAAACAGAACCCAAGCTAGAAGAACTAGTGGAAGCCAAGCAGGCGCACCCATCTCATTGAACTGTTTCAATGTCATTCAGTAGATGAATGCTTGATATACCGCGTTGCTATTTGCTTTCATTTCTTTAGTGGACCGCGAGTCATCAGAAAAATTGAAAGGGGAACTTATGCATAATTTTTTTAAAAGTTTGAGAACCACTGCGCCAAGCGAAGGCACGAATAAAATAAAAAATGCTAACATATCAGTGATAAAAATTGATACAACCGGCCTTCAATTAATCTAACAATAACAAAACAATTATAATGTACCGTCAGTTGGACAGTCAGGGCTGCGATCGCTCATATTCAAAATATTGATTTTCGGGCCGGTATGGAAATTTTCAAAACCCCTAATCTTGGACGCATGTATGCACCGCTGTATACCGTTATTCAGCTATTGGGCCTGACATCGTTTAGGACATATAAATGCAATTGATATGTTCATTTCGCGCAACGCCTGTCTCTCTCGGAAGGGCATCTGCAGAATGTTTTAGGGATTATACGAGAACTAGATGCTACTTTGCATTTTATTAGTTTTTCGCCTACAATGCCGTTGAGAAAACAAAATCTTTCAGACTTGAAATAAAAATTTAGAAATCTGATATAACAATGGGGCAGTGTAAAAGAGCTTTAATGTGGTTGAAAGCTGATCGAAAATTATAACACTATCAAAGCGGAATTACCTCCAAACACTAGAACCGTAAAATAATTTAACGCATCATCCTAAACGTTTTCGGTAATTCATATGCGTGTTTTCGTACTCTAATATCATAAGACCGAGTGTCATAAAAAGTCCCTGATAGAAGTGCTGCATAAGTAGACTTACCATACGTCCCGCTTTAGGCGTGACAGTCCCGCTTTTCAGCGTCTTGTCCCGCCGTCCCGACAACTCAGCCAAAATTCCCGCTTTTGTATTCAGCCATCCAGCATAATACACGAACATGTTCTCGTTACTGTTGTTTCTGTGTAGCGCGGCGCTAGCCTACTTACTGAAGGTGAATGCGCTTGTTTCCCGCTGATTCCCATTGATAGCAGACGTATCGCATGTAAAACCAATACTAATTAAAGTAGTCTAAATTCGAATTATTTGTACCGGTATCGTTAACGTCAATTCCTTTCTATTTTTCAACTGAACCCGATATTTGGACAGAGAATATGCGCATGAAATTTCGATAACAATATTGGCAATAAAGACAGCCGGGACAGCTTTAAATGTCGGCCCATATAGTAAAATCGGAAAATGTGAACATACAAAATCACAGCTAAAGGGTCGTTGTCTTTTGAGGCGTCCCGATTTGAAGTCACAAAATATGGTAACCCTATGCATAAGTAATGCCCAAAACTACACCAACACCAGCTTATAAGATTTGTTTCAGAAGTTTCTTATAGATACAAACGTGAATCAAATATCTGTGACCCACTCTCTTCTGTTCCGCGATAAAATTATAATTTTTGACCCATTCATTGAAAAAGGTTCACCATCCCTGCCCTAGGCTAAAAGATGTGAACTAAGTTTAAGAAAGTTACTCTCGGTCCATATTTCAATAAGCGCTTGTACGCGAAAGGAGTAATTTCCTGTGACTCATTTCCTGGTATTTATTCAGAGACGCTATACCAAGTATTAATATGAAACCGTTAGTCTGAATTGGGATATTTAGTAACAGAACTCTGCCGAGAAGTAGTCAAGGTTTAGACTTTATTATTTTGTAATGTGAATTTATAAGGATAGTGTATTCTGATTTAGTTAATGTATTGTTATGTATTTGATATAATGGCGCCCATATCACTTGCATATTATAACAAAATAAAATGATAAAAGATAAGCGGATAAAACTTCTTACTTACTAACTATGTGCTCTCCTATTTTTGCATGAATTAATTAATTAATTTACTGTAATCGAGTATTTGGTTGTATTAACACTCAATGTTGGTTTCTAAAGTTTAATAAAGACCTCGTTGTCTGTGTAGCGTACCGGCAGTCTATGAAATAATTATCCAAGTCTTTTGTGTCTACTGTTGTCTGATCCCGATAATCTTGTTCTTAACCCTTCTTTCCTGTCTGTTTGCCACTGTATGTCTACTGACCCTGCCTGGTTTCTGACTTTCCTCCTGTGTTATCTATCCACTTTGTCGGCTTTCGGTACTGACCCGCCATCCCCGCGTTAATTGGTTTCCGACTTCCTTGCATGTATACTTCGGCAATTAACATGCTGAGTTCGTTCATGCTGTAGCCTATATGATGATGTAACCTAATAATATCCGACCAAGAGTGTAACGGTTTCAATATATATGTACCATGCGTTTGTAAGTTAATGATATAATTTACATATAATTTCCAGGGTGGGGGAGGTTGATTTAGGGATGTTGTTCTATCGCGTCTGGTGTTAAGTGAACTAATAAAAATGCCCAAAAATTGCCCTGAATCAGTTGTGTATTTCAAAAAGGAAGAACACAGTACTGTACATGCGCAAAATACAATATACATATGTACAGTATTTGAGTCTGGGCAAGCCCGATAGATCATATTTTTACGTAACAAATGCAAGTTTTGCGCTGCCAGGTTCAAAAATGAACGTGCCGAATATTGCGTGTCTACTATAGAGTCTACTCTAGACTGATAAACGATCTTACAATAACTTCTGCAGTATGCGGAGGTTATAGGATATTGGGTAAATTAGCTGCTTTTGGTTAATAGTTTACGTGTTTCAACCTAAAATCATTCTAATCTTAAAACTAAAATAAGATCTTAATCATAAAACACGTAATAAAGTCTTGTAGGTTGTAATGCCCTGAGGGCAACAAAACCAGCTTAAAAGCGACCATTCGTTATCCGACGAAAAAGATAACGATGGACGATTAATTAAACTCGTGCGTGCAGTGCAACTTATTTTGTTCTTTGTATTTGTAAATATATACAATTGCAATACATGTATTCGGAACCAGGAGTATGTCTTCATCAGATCAGATCAACAGAATCAGACAGCAAACAACAGCGAAATACTAATTTTATCCCCTAAAGGTTATTGTCTTACTCCAAGAGCAGTGTGATAAATTTTATTCGCAACGGCAGCAGTGACATCAGAATGCCAATTTTTTTTAATTTTAAGCGAGCAAATAATCACTTGGAGGAAATTGTAAATTAGATACTGAAGTTTGAGCAGTCATGCAACATTCATGGTTGAGAATATTTATTTTTCGCTGTTTGGATATTACATAAATAAATGGCAGGGTTTCTTGAACACTTACGACTAAAAATTAGGCACGCTTTATAACTGAATTGTATGATATAAATAAATCTACTCGGGATGCAGTGTATAGTTCAAATCAACAACTTAAATGGAACATAAAAAATACAAATTTTGTGTCGATTTTATTAGGAATGCACCCACAAAGTCTTCTTATTGTGGTGGAATTTTTTGTATGCGTGTGTGCAGTTATCTGGATATTCAACAGTTGATTGCGAGCAGTGCGGCAGTTCCTGCACGAAAGTACCGTGGCGTCTCTTGCCATGATTTTATGGCGCTACTCAGTAATCAGTATTACCGGTATATTCACGAAGTCATGTACCAGATTTTAGTTTATCATGCCGACTTATATCTACTTTAACCTGAACCCTAACCCCAAATCTATCAAAACTGTATCAATTAGGAAAAATATTCTAACTTACCCAATATTGGGAGCTAAAAAGTCAGACGCCGTGGTTTGGCCATAGCGGCCATGGTTTGGAAAGCTCACCATGGTTTTGCGGCAGCTTCAGACGCCACAAAATACTTAAAACTGCACTTGTAGTATGGCGTACTATCAATTCTCGTAGACGACCGGAATCGCTTCTTGTGTCCAAATAGTTATCTTCTCATAACTAATCACTCTCCGGCATAATTAGCGATGCAAAGGCGAGAGAGAATTCAAGAATGTAATCAGATGTTTAATTGGGTACTCCCGAAGTATGTGAACCAAGAAGACGAACTTTATTGCAATTTTCCTTATTTTAGTTCTATTACGAGTTCGGGGAGCAACCAAATGATTCCCGTAGTATTTGCACCTAAAATTATGGCCTAACCCTAAGCTGGTACACATACTACGTTTCGGTGTCCGCCATCTTGGTTCACATACTTCGGGAGGACCCAATTTTTATCGATAATAGCGAAATATTTACCACCCTCCACTGTTTACTGTGAGTACTGTGCGTGATCTTGCGATTTAATTAATTATTTTCTGCAGAATTGTTCAGACATTACCAATTTACAAAAAGGCACTCATGTCGTCATCATATTGTTGCACGCTTGAAGACGTGACGTCAGCTATGACGAGAATACGTCCCTACGTAGACAAAACCCCCATGATGACATCATCCACATTAAACAAAATGTCAGGACATAAAATATTTCTTAAAACGGAAAATTTTCAGGTAAGCATTTTATTTTTTTTCTGCTTGGTACTCTCCATAACTAATTCTAATCTAGCTAATTATTAGACGATGAGATCAGAAAACAAGGAGAGCGATATTCAAATATATGGACACGAAAACCAAAACGAACGGCCAATTTGACGACTCACAACGAGAAAGTGGTTTATAAGTTACGCAATTTTTGATGACTCAATCTCATACAAAAAAAACGAGCATTATAGAGTTGAAATTTTTGCTTTTTGGACACAAACCAACATTATTATCGTTTAAAAGGAAATTCGTTTTTTTTTTCAATTTTGTTTGTCCCTTGGCATTATCAACTCACTCAATGTCTTCAAACCATATTTACCGCGAACAACTTCTTCACAGCCAAATTCTTTCGCGACCCTCAGAAACTGAAATAAAAATAAAATAAAATTTAATAATATAGAAAATATTCGACAGTACTTTCAATTAGACCGGTGAACATCTTAGTAGTGCAAGTAGTCTATTATTGTATATTGCGAACCTGCAAGTATTATCCAATCTTGGAGAAAATTGAGCTTTTCGGTATGTTTTTAACTTCTAATTTATTATTGTTTTTTGAATTTATTTTTACTATCTAGGGCCTTTTACTTCCACCATATTATCTGATATTGATTTTAATTCTAAATTGCGCTCCTTGCACCACGAAATTAACGGCGTCACGGATTGTTAGCGTTATTGAGCTATATTCAATTCCACAGAAAACAGGGTCATTCAAGATAAGAGGCGCAACAAATGCAGTGCTCAAAATCAAACAGGATTTACCAGACGTGAACTGTGTGGTGTGTGACAGCAGTGGGAACCACGGCCAAGCTCTCGCACGAGCGGCTCAGACATCGGGACTCAAATGTTATGTAGTGATGCCAGAAAACTCGCCAAAATGCAAAATTGACGCCGTGAAAGGGTAAGTGTAATGGTTTTGGCGAATTTCCAGAGTATAGTGCCATTTTTATGCCAGTTTGCACTAAGTAAGCTCCCGAGTAGGGCTAGGCAGTTCGAATCGAATATTCGAAGCGGATCGAAGATATATCAATCAGACAAAAATTTAGAATCGCCGCCATCTCATTTCTTTGCCGTCAAAGGTCGAGATGAATTTCTCGTTTATTTTAATGAAGCCATACTTTTGAAACGCAATTCTGAAATATAATTCTGTTTTTCCTAGTAATTATTCATGAAATATGTTTTCTATTGTGTGTGGAAACTCAGTGAACTGCCTGAGTATCGGATTTTATATTTTCAGTAATTTGTCTTTCTGGAAAACCCATCACAATGGACGTTTCCCCGACCCTCTCCCCCTGGAAGATTCTCGCTATACCAGGGGTAGGAAACCTCGCGACTAAAATTAAAGGTTGCAAGTCATTATCGGGCAGCACATACTTTTAGAAAGTTGAAAACCGAACAATAAAAATCAAGAAGTGATACATCTCTCGTATAGAATTTAGATTAATTTCCTCATTACATTGCATCTCAAACATTGCTCATTAAAGGAGCAATTGTTAATTTTATACTTGTTAGATTATAATACAATTTAGTCTACACGTGTCTCACAATAAATTCTGTTACGTAAAGAATATAATCGTCAAAACAGCTGTTTTGTTACTATAGTTCAGTGAAGCGTCGCGTGCCGGATTATATTACTCCGCGGGCCGGATGAGGAACGCCGGCTGTAGGTTGCCGAACCCTGCCCGATACAGTACTTTATCATAAGTAAATTTCTAACGCTGATTTCGAGAGTGTTTTGGAGAGTTGGCGCCCCCAAACTGGCTCACACGTTCAAAACTTCCATTTTTATTCGAAACAACAAACCATGTACCGCTTACAGGTACTGATAGCTGAATTTAGGTTAGTCTATCGCATCGTTTGCAAGAAGAATTTTTATTATTGCAGTAAACTGAAAGTCTTCGGAAAACACAATGACAATTAAGTTATTTGATTCACAACTAATTTTTGGAAACATAACTAAAAACTGACAAATAACACGTAAAACTACGAAAGCTCGACAATGTTCACAACGAGATAGCGATCAGAGACCGCCGACTTATCGATCTAGCGGCGTGTATCTTACGCTCTGAATCAATAGCGACGCCGCGTGTCCCATCACTAATTAATTAATAACTCGCTAACTATACGACATAATTCATCTAAATAGGCTTCTGATCCGAGATATGATGAATGCACATGCAAAATCTGGAGCGGATTCAACCTGGCTTTCGTGAGATATCACGTGTATCCAACAGACAAACACACAAACAGACAAATACCTATCAACATACTTACCGATCAAGATCGATAGGTAACATCGTTTAAATATCTGTCTGAGAAACAAAAGATCTGAGCGGTGGAATAAATTCCAATTGTTAACTTATTTATGACGTAACGCACTACCGTATTTTACGAGCGATGAGGCGTGCTTTGAATAATTATTTTTATTTTTTTGTGAACTTTTGTTAAATTTAGGTATGGGGCCAACGTTGTTCTCTGCGAAGCCTCGGAAGAAGCTCGAAAAAGGGGCGCCGATGACGTCATCAAACAACATGGCGGCGTGTACGTCAGTTCCAGTCAAACTTTTGATGTTATAAGAGGCCAGGGCACGTTGGGCCTTGAAATTATAGAACAAAATCCGGAATGTGATGTCATAGTGGCTGCTGTCGCCGGTGGAGGAATGATATCTGGCATCGCTACTGCAGTGAAGGGCGTTAACTCAAGCGTGAAGGTCATCGCCGCTGAACCGGAACTTGCAAACGATTGTTATATTTCTAAAAAGACGGGAGTTTTAACCCCAAACCCAACTTTTCCGAATACAATTGCCGACGGTGTGAAAGTCAGTGTAGGTGAAAACACTTGGCCAATGATCCGTGACCTCATTGATGACGTCATAACCGTTTCTGAAGACGAAATAAAACATGCCACACTGCTTGTTTGGGAAAGGTGCAAATTGGTTATTGAACCGACAGCAGGGGTTGCTGTAGCCGCTGTCCTTTCTGAAAATTTTAACAAAACTTTGTCGAAACTCTTCCCAAATTCGGAACCTAAGAATGTAACAGTGGTTCTATGCGGCGGGAATGTAGACTTCGGTGTCTTACCGGAATTGTTAAACTGTGCGCAGGACTTAGGATAACGTCCATGACTTCAATAGAAGGAAAACTCAGGAGATTCCGACTCCACGAAGTCACACGGTATGACGTCATAACACCCGAGGGATCAATGGAGAGTTACTTAATATTATATATTGCTATATCCAATGCAAAATCATTATTTAAATAAGTAAATGATACTTTTTAACCAAACTTGCCCCAGACTCAGAACCTTTAAAATTGTAACACATTTATTACTTTGTAAATTATCGAATATGCACCGAATTCATTTTGACTGTAAACCTAGGAGAATCACAGATACTTTTTTACCTGCCTAAAAATGATCTCATATTCTCGAGACAATGGAATCATCGATATTCCCACGAAATCTATACCATTCCAATCTATTTTACAATATATTTACAATGCATTTGACTTTAATTAATTACCGCGCCGATGGTATAAACCGGAAATAATAATAATCTTGCCCAACCAAAATTTCTCCTATCAAAAACGAAACAAACAAGTCTTTGATTGGTCGAAAAAGAACCTTCTTTCCGCAAAAGTAAGAAATAAAGATAGAGGATTTAAACGAAGTAATCTCAAACGCCTTAAATAGAATAACTTAACCCAAAATAAAATAAAAAGTAACGTAGGGGGAGAGGGAAGAACACGCAACAATCCCATTAAGGTATCGTTCTATACTTTATGCTATATGTCGTATCTTGTACTTTCTACACTTCGATTGTTGTGTTATCGTGTGGTTATTTAAACGGAGCAATAAAATCTTGAAAGATTGTGAAAAGGTTATATAAAGTTAACAGGGTTTAATTGAACACGTATAACTTCTGATTACTATATTGCTCAACATTGGAGCCTAATATATAACTGCAGTTGTAATATAGTCAACAACAACCAACGGAATAGTCAACAGATAGAGAACAATTCATATAGCAGTACAATTACGTTACGTAACAATCATACAAAGCAGCGGGAATGTAGATTTTGCCATTTTACCGGAATTATTGCACTTCTCGTCCCGTGACTCCTGTTTGTTTAAAAATAGGAGTATGGCTATGACAGGACCACAATTTGACTGTCCCATTGCCATGACTCTGTTGACGTAAGTTTTGACGTCATACTGCCCGGAGCTCTATGTAGCGTGATCAAATCTTGTGGATGTCTATATGTAGTACAATTTCAATATTTCTTGAAGTAATTGTTATTAAAAAGTTTGCTCGTCAGAAGATTACTGATAAGACGGCAATCACTAAAATATAGGCTTACCATGCGTCCCGGTTTAGCCGGGGCATTCTCGATTTTGACAAGCTGTCCTGCCCGGTAGACTTAATTGTCCCAGTCATGCAGTATGGCAGTTCGAGAAACTTTTTTAATCAATATCATCACATGTTTCGTTATTTGAGGCCATTATCACTGATCAGTCTATTTATCTATTATATTTATGAATATTACTAATATTCATATGACGTGGCTATTACTGGTCTCCGAAATCGAACCACGGTTTGTCTATTCCGACCTGTCCCGTTTTTTGTTTCATATATATGGTGAGCCTACTAAAATACCTGAAACTACAGAATTTTAGTGATGCATTATGAAATAGCCAACCTCATCCTAGCTAGTAAAAGCGCCTGTCAAACCTTCATGAACAGAATGCAAAGCATACTAAGAATTAAACTACTGTAATCGCAGCCAAATAAAGAAACCAGTTTATTAAATTGCTTTAATCATCTGAATAATATTATTAACGAGATAGCGATCGGAGATTGCCGACTTATCGATCTTCAGCAAAAAAATGAAATGAAAAAAATGAAAAAAAAAATTAATTAATCAATTATTAACTCGCTAATTATACGACATAATTCATCGTAAATCAATAGGCCGAGATATGATGAATGCACATGCAATTTGGAGTAGATTGAACCTCGCTTTCGTGAGATATCGTGTGTATCTAACAGACAGACAAACAAATACCTATCAACATACTTACCGATCAAGATCGATAAGTAATAAAAAGAATAAAACCTCACAAAATGTGAAAACGGTTAAAAAGACTGATTTGCTTGAAGTTGAAGGTCAGGTGAGTCGAGCAAAAACCTTAGTGGGCCGGATTGTAAAAAAATGTGACTTCGGCTCCGACTTCACCCGACCCGTTTAGTACATGGTGCGGTGCTGAATTAACCATTTAGCAAAATAAGCGTGCGTTTGGGGCACCAAAAAAGAGAGGGCACCACAGAAATTTCCATAGACAAATTTTCAATAATGACCTAGTCAGACGAAACGTTACAGAAATATATTTGTGTTAGTGTGCAGCAAGATCTTGAATTGCATATTATGGTATTTTTATTCCTGCTACAGCATCCTCGCATTATACGCATATGGGTTCACTATAGCGCAAAGGCATTGAGAAAGGATTGGGAGTTGGGAGTCTCGCGCAACCCTACTGATAGTTATACAGATACAGTATTTGAGTCTGGGCATGCCCGATAGATCATATTATTACGTAACTAATGCAAGTTTTACCGCTGCCAAGGTTAAAAAATAAACGTGCCGAATATCGCGTGTCTAGGTTCTAGTCTAGTCTAGACAGACAAACGATTCTACAATAACTGCTGCAGTATGCGAAGGTTATTAGTCTCACTCCAAGAGCTGTGTGATCAATTTTATTCGAAATGATAGCAGTGGCATCAAAATGTCATTTTTTCTAATTCCAAGCGAGAAAAGAATCGCACTTGGAGGAAATTGTAAATTAGATACTGAAGTTTGAGCAGTCATGCAACATTCATGGTTTGAGAATATTTATTTTTCTCTTTTCAAATATTACATAAATAAATGGCAAGATTTCAACACTTACGACTAAAAATTAGGCACGCCTTATATCTGAATTGTATGATATAAATAAATCTACTCGGGATGCAGTGTATAGTTCAAATTAGAAATGCGCTCACAAAGTCTTCTTATTGTGGTGGACTTTTTGTATGCGTGTGTGCTGTTATCTGCATATTCAGTACTCGATTGTTTTTGTGCATGAGTCTATTCACCGAACAGTCGATCGCGAGCTATTTTTAAGATTTTGTCGATCGCGGTCGAAAGCAGGTTGGCCACCCCTGTAATAGGGCATTAGCTTATTTGTCTGAATTTAAGGATATGAATTATGAGGATCTTTTGTACAAAGCTCTCTCCAAAAAACACCCCTGCCACCGCTTAAAATGAAAAATTAGTAATTGTCCATTTAATATACGGGCTAATTTGTTATTTCAAAACGTGACGGAGGTGTTTTTCTCAATTCGCTCTATTTTGCCCTAATGGCGGGGTCTTTGTACGAAAGCTCCAACTACAAATATATATAAAAGCAAACCTAATACTGTACTCAAACAGTATTGTCGACTCAAAGGAATCTTTGAAGTGTCACAAGTTTGATACAGTAGTGGCTAACCTAATAGGATTATGAGTTGGGTTGCATGAGACTAACTCCCCTTTCTAAATATATACATTTATGCTAGTAGATCCATATGCGTATAATGCAAGGCTGCTTGCTGTAGCAGGAATAAACATGACTATACCATGCAAATTCAAAAGACTCAAGAGACATTGAATAGTAACCTCTATTTGATTGAGGTATTTGAATATTTGAAATATACATACATTAATAATGACCACGGGTGGGCAAGGTTTTTGAACCAGGGGCCAAAAATTGTGTCCACCTAGACTGGACCAGGGGCCATGGAAGTGGAACGTAAAAAGGACATTTTATGCACAATATTTACAGTGTTACAAAAGTAGAGGTGAAAAACAATGAGCCTCGTGCCAAAACTAAATTTAACCGCGATCTCAACAAATTCATGAGCTATTTTTGGCTAAAACATCGATATTTCGGTTTATTTATGGCAATTTGAATTCGGTTTGGTTATGGCAATTGAATTACCGAATTTGGCCCGCGGGCTGTACTTTGCCCATGTCTGATATAGACTGTTGGATTTGAATGAAAACTTGCGGAACCCATGGACTGTACTAGCGAAACTAGCTACTAGTAAATATGCTTCATCCAACTGCATATCCAGGCCTCAGACGCTTTCATATGGAGATCTTAACCTAAGCTAAAGCCCTAAGGCCCTCCTCGACAGCCTTTTCTTGGGACAGGTCGGCTCCGCTCCTTTTGTTATCATCTTATCCAGGGGTGTGCAACCTTTAATACGGGAGGGCCAGATACAAATAACTAGATGAAACCGCGGGCCGCACCTTTATGTAAAATTGGCTTCCTAGTAGTTGCAGGCTCAAAATTACTATAACTTCAAGTCGGGAGTGTAACCCGGAATCCGGATAGTCTGTTGGTTGAGTTATTATTAAAATCAGTTCCAGTCCGTACACCAATCTAACCTGGTTTTGATGCAACGATATCGCAGAAATGTGATAATTGTCTAGGTGTCGCTCATGAATACACAGCCGCCCTGATAGTGGCTGTTAATATGGGAAGATATGAGGTAACAAGCAAATTTTTTTTATAAAAAAGTAAACATCTGAACATGAAATATTCGAGCAATCCATAATTGTCATAGTCTTTTAAAAGCGACCTTTCTTATCTGCCTTCGAGTGACTCCCAGTTTTATACTTATTGGACACCAAGAGTGCCTATGAATCGTTTTGGTATCGGATACGAAGTTTCCAATTACTGGATCAGTTTCTTTGAAATTTGAATGGATTGTTCTGTTATTATGCTGTTGTTCTTGTAGGTATTTTTCTTCATCGTATACCGATTTTCCCATATATTACTGGATCAATTGCTTTGAAATTTGAATGAATCGTTTTGTTATAATGCTGTTGTTATTCTTGGAATTTTTCTTTTTGTTGCTATCGTATACCACTTTCCCACTTTGGAATTTTCAGTGGTTAAATATTGCATTTTTCGCTGCAAGCTATTGCTTTTTTTTTATTTTAAAAACTTCTGTATGATTTGCGGGATTGTTTTTTTTATGTGCGACGACGTTATTGAAACTGGGCACCTTGTCGCGGTGCCGCGTTCGCTTTAGTTGCTTGCTAATGGTGGTCAGTCATGAAGACTGCGGTACGGGTAGTCTACTGTGACAGAATGCATACCCGTACTACCTCGTTTTGGCTTTTTTGTCCATATATCAGAGCATTTGTTTGTTTGCTTTTTTGTTTATTTTTCATTCCGATAACAGCTTGGAAAAGTTACATCAAACTTGGCGTTGACAAATAACGCCATCTAAATAAGAACCTGGTCTCGTATTTGCCATTCCTCTGTCATTGGAGTCAGAGCCTACAGATAGATAAACATTCGGTCGATTCCACCATTCTCTTACTAAGGGTCCTTTTGGACCCCATTTCATGAAAGAGTTTTTTGAAGTGATAGCCCCCGTCTGAAATAAATAGTTAGTCATTAGTGGACATCGACGAATTTTACATTCATTCCAAACTTTTGCTTCAAGAATACCACGGTCATTCATCCGAGGTATCTTGTACTTTCTGTAGTATTACGAATATTCTTCTAATTTTTATTATCATTACTATTATATTATTACTAATATAGATGTTCATGCATATATATAAAACTACTCAAACTGTACAACAAGAGTGGGTGTGACATGCGCATAACGTTAGATAAGAATTCATTAGTGATTGAATAAACAGTTTTTATGCAAATCGAGGAAGGAATGAAAAGTTTCTAAATTTGCAAAGGGCAACTTAAACGGTTTGGAACCACTGTTAAATCACTGCATGTCAATAAGTTTGTCAAAGCCATACATGCCGATATCAAGGACACTGCGA